CCCCCCCCCGCTCCGTTTTTTTTTTGTTTTTTTGTTTTTTTTCTTTTGGTCCGGACATTTTTGCACCCCCGGCACCGGTCCAGACTGTCCGGGTAGAGTAATTTCTGGATCACCGGACAGTCCAGACCGGTCCAGACACTGGTCCGGAAGACAGTCCGGAATTGTCCGGTGTCCGGGTCTGGGGTTACCATGGAGTAGAGTCAACCTTTTTTCTCTCTGAGGGGTATCACTAACTCTGGGCGCTGTGGCGAGTCCTTATCCATCAGTCAGTCAAATGCATCCTGAGCAGACTGCCTGTCCAGGTTCAACTTCCTGATGAGTCGGTGAAAGTCCAACGAAACAGTCTGGTACAGTCATGCTTTTCTTTGTGGAGTTGTGTCTAGCGAATATGATGACACACCCATGCATGTGCAGACACAGCAGCGAACACACACGCACACACTCATCAGACACAAAAGAGGCACACATGCCGAAGAGTATTCGGGTACCAACTGGCCTAGCTCAGTTGATACACCCACAAACTGTTAAAACGCAGACCTGACTTCAAATCCCGATGGAATAAGATAAGTGAAAACAGCTCTGAAGATTTTACCTGGGGCCGGTCAGTTCAAAGATGATATCTCAAGGCCGTCGCCCAGACTCGCCCTTTCTTTTTCTTAAAAAAAAAAAAAAAAAAGTATTTTGGTACTATGGCAATGGAAGCATAAGCATACAACAGAAACGAGAGAAGAGTTGATCAGACTTGGATCCCTTTTTTTTCCCCTTACCATGCCCCTTCCATTCTGGGGGGCATCAGTCCGGTTGGTCTTCTCTTGCTCTGTGTTCACACTGGCATTTTGCACAGGCATCTTTTTTTTTTTTTTTTGTGGGAAAAACTTCTGAAAAGGCAAGGAATTTCCATTACAATTTGCACATGCATCCTCCACTCTGTTTTTTTTTTTTTTTTTTTTTTTTCCCACCATCGTAGGCTTCTATCGTACCATTGAAAGTTGATTGGGCAGAAATTTGAGGAACAAGCCTTCAAGACAACCATATATACCAGATCCTCGCACCTATATCATGATTGGGTAATTTATGCACCTGCTGCCTTCCTTGGACGTGGTAGCATCTTCCACTTTGGGGTGCGCATCTTCCACTTTGGGGTGCGCATCTTCCGTTTTGGGGTGCTGCATCTTCATACAAAACCTAATGTAGCCTGTGTCATAGAATTGAAGGGAAACGCAAACGAAGATGCCTAGGGCAATTGCAAACGGTTACACCGTTACACAAGGAAGATGAGAAAGAACATTTTAAGAGTATAGTGAAACATGGAGGAGATGGAGAGAGAGAAAAAAGAGATGGAAAGAAATCGGACACACCAAGGTATGAGAAATGGAGGTGCGTGCACAAAGGTATCTGGCACTTTAAAAATTATCAAATACTGCGCGAACCTAGTGCCATCCTGGTGGCTCTGCGTCAGAGTTTTTTTTCTTTTTTTCTTTTTTTAATCCGTCAAAAGATTTTCCAGTACCTTCCTGCATCCAGACTGCAATGTGAGTAGGAGGTCCCTTTGACGCCTCTTGAAAGCACGAATGGCCTTGATGCCAACCAAAGGCCCTTTGTCTTCATCCCTGTGAAAAAAAAAGCAAAATGCAAGGAAGATGAGCAATAGCGAACTTCAGCAATCAAACACCATCATACATATGAGTCCAGATAGTCTTGACCTCGAACCAACAGCAGAATTGCATCACGAGATTCACCAAATAAGAACACACCAAGAGTTCATAATTGACAATGCTGAAATAGTCCCATCATCATCAACGAAGAACCAGAGTTGATATCCTATCTGGCGCTCCGCGCCCAGACTACATGTGGCAGATGCAATGTGCCCAGTCGTGATAATCAGTCGTCACTCGCAAAGACAAGTAAACGAACGCTGCTGATAAATCATGATAATAATGATCCCAAAATGAGAGAGAATGCATACACAGACGAGAGAGGGAGGAGGGAGAATAGACTTTGAGAGGGTGGAAGAGTCTCCTCCCTACAGCCCACTTCCTCTTCGGGCACTTCCTCCTCCCAGCAGCATAATCGTGTCTCAATCAGAGATCCGGACATCCAAGACAATGTAGTCCAACAGTGCCACGTGGCACCAGTAGACCAGTCATCAATCAGCAGCGTGACGACGAAGTTGAAGACACCAGGTGCGTATCATGACCCCAACCACAGTCCTGATTCCTCCTTCCGAGTACTTGTCAAGMARAACAGCAATACAGGCGCCCAGCGCCTTCCACCTCAGCAGCAATACCAYGTGGCAGCAGTCACGAAGATGACACGTGGCATCTGCCACGTCAACAACCCCTCAGACAGTAGTGCGCCAGCCAGCATGCTGGTCGCACAGCACACTCAAGCCACGAACCAGCGACGAGCGCCGGTCGTTGAATTCTCCCCGCAGCGTCTCACCAGCAAGACAGCATAGAGCCGGCGTTGATGCGAGAGCGTCGAGTCCCCATAGACTCCAGACGAGAGTCTAGATGTCAAAGCCAGGAAGTCAGCC